CTGCAAAGGCGTTAATTATGTTTTTCTCTACCTTTTTCCACGGAACTTCGTCGAAATAATTCGTCTTAGCTAGACTTACCGATTTCAAATCTAAGTCGACTATTACATTTGTGACGAAATTCCATGCGAATCCGTCACCTGTATTCCCGTAGGGTAACTACCTAGGTTAAGGGCGAGAGAGAATCGCGAAAACTTAATAAAAGCTACCTGCTACCTTAGTAAAATCCGTAACAGTTACCTGCTACCTTTGTAAAACTCGCGAAAAGCTACCTGCTACCTTGGTAAAACTCGCCAAAGCTACCTGCTATCTAAATATAACCCGGGGAAAAGCTACCTGAATAATCCCCGATTAATTAGCCACCTGCTACCTAAATATAATCCGGGGAAAAGCTACCTGAATAATCCCCGAGTAATTAGCTACCGGCTACCTAATCTCCTCTCGGAGACAGCTACCTGATACCTTCTCTAATTTTCCCTCAGGCTCGCGACGCTAAAATAATCCTTAAAGTCGTAAGTAGAGACAGCATTTAAATCCCTAAAGTTTAGAAGAACCCCGATAAAAATTCGGTTACCGTTATCGATTTGGAAATAGTTTAAATTCCCCTAAATCCTCCGTGTAAGAGTTGAGAATAGTCGGCGCGAAATCGGGTCAAGGGCCGGGGACTATCGAGAAAAATTAGCCGATATACTGTGCTTCCGGTAGTCCCCGAAACCCTTTTTGGGCTAATTGAGTAGGACAACCCATCGGTTAGGTTGAGACACCTACGCTCCCTTAGTTGTGAGAGGGTTGGGGTAATCTTCACTTTAGTACGGGTGGAAGGCCATGTGAGCGAACGTAGCTCTCTCGCTTGCATGGATTGCCAAGAGCTTTACGGTTTAGAAAATTTCGGTTGCGTTACGGTTATACAAAATTTAGGTTTAGTTATAGTTACAGATAAATTAGGATTAGTTAGTTTCGTTAGAAGATCCCCTATCCCTCTCCGGAGAGGGTCCCTACCGGATTAGCTACCTGATAATAGGCGTAGCCGGGACAAAAATCCGCTCCCCCCAAAATCTCGCTCAAAACCCCTTGAAAAATCTTATTTCGGCTAAAAACCGGTTAGAATCGTTAATAGAACCCCAGAGTAATAGAGAAAAACAATAATATGAATACACCGTAGTAAAAATACAAAACCCCAATTTTAAATTTGAATTTAGTACGCGCCGCGAGCTGGGAAAAGTTAGGGGGTACTACTAGTACCGTACGTAACCACGCGCGCCGCCACCGGACGGGCAGACTCGAAGGAAATCCCCCACCACGCGCAACAGGTTCGAACGGAACCACGCGACCGGCCGGCGTTAGTTTCCCACGGGCCGTTACGATAACCACGTGTGTGCCAGAAACTTCGTGCGTTAGACGACACCACACTCCTGCCCCAGAGTATCTGCACCTCTAAAACTGCATTTCCAAGACTCCACGAGTACCCTGGTAAGTACCCGTGTGCTTAAATAAGTGTTAATGAGTGCGGGAAGTGTGATTTTCGCGTAATTAGGTGTCGCGGGCACGAAAATTTGCAAATGGCGTCGCTACCTCGCGATATGACGCCATACGGGAAACTCACGGTTGAGAAAGCCAAAAAGACCTCTCTCAACGGCTACCTATGCTCCCTAATGCTCCCTGATGCTCCCTCGTGTTAACCAAAAGCTAGTTAATCGTTTTAAACCAGTTTTAGGAATTAATTTCGCCACGAGAAGGCGAAATATACGGGATGAGGCATTCCACGCGGCTCGGAATACCCCTCTCCCATGCTACCTATTGCTGCCTATTTTCTACGCTCTCTAATACTAAATTTTCGATCCCTGCTACCTACTTTATTGGGTTTTCCAGGCTCACCCGAAGAGCTCAGGAAAGGACCCCGCTACCTGATAATTCTAGCTACCTTTACCGGGTTTACTTTTGCTACCTGGACTTAAACTTAATTGCTACCTTGTAATAAAAATTTATCGTTGACCTTCCATTAGATTATTGCCACCGTTACATTAAAAATTTTATTGCGACCTCTTATTAAAAATTTCGGCTACCTTCGCGAGGCTGGATCAATTTCTCTGGGTGATGCAATAATGCTCCCCGAGACGTAATTGTCCGCCATTTTGTGGATCCCGGTTGGGCATGGGGACACTATCTCGTAGTTAATCATTTTTAATGGTTGGAATTCACAAAAGCTATCATGCTACCTCTCGCGAATTAGGATTACTTTTATATGGTTACGCAATTAATTAACCAATTAATCCGATTACTTATTGGCCGTCTCGGAGACGCCATCGGATACCTAATTTATTAATTCGTTGGCGAAGTAAGCAGTTGTTTAATTGATAATTGCCCATTCAGACCGTTAAAAATCCGTTTAGTCGCGAATTAATCCATCAATAATGAAAGGGAGAATGTTGGGTACAGCTATCTACCACAGCACGGTTGTTGATTTAGCCCGTGACCGAGGAAGTTTATACCAAACCCCCAAATTACGCTACCTAAACAGGGGAATAAGCTACCTATACATTCCCCAGGGTCTGAGGCCCTTTCCGTAATTTTCAATATTTAGACTTGCTACCTGTACGGATATTTGCCCTGCGGACCCTATTGATTTAGATAATCGGTA